TGGAATTGACTATGATAGATCATCTTTCTTTTTTTCTTCTTTTTTTTTAATGAACAAAATCTGTTACTTTTTTTTTAATACAGTATTTTCTCTTTTTTTTTTTTTAAAGATTTGTTTTATTTATGCACACAGACCCAGGGTACAGGTTAGAAGTGCAGAGGCAGTGAGAGGATTCACAAAAGAAAGAGTGGGGAGCAGAACAGGCAGACGGACGAAGTACACTGCTGAGGGGAGCAGCGAGAGAGACAGAAGAGGTCTGCCACGTTATGTGGGTCATCTCCAGGGCGGGGATCGAACTCGCAAACTGAAGAGGCTGCGTCTCGCTCACAGTGCTCTGTCCTAACCTGTTGTGTCATCTTTAGTGTTTGCTTTGTTACTGGCCTTACAGAAACACCTCTTGTCAGCGCAGCGACTGCACCCACCCGCCGAGGGCGACCCCAGGCTCGGAATCAATCACCCACCGGGCAGAACAGCTCTCACGACTGAGAGGCCGAGCGCGCGTCCACACCCCCGACTATTCTCCGCGCTCACACGGTTAGAGGTGCAGGTCTGGGCTCAGGCACTGGGCTCTGGGTGCTGCGCTGCGTCCCCAGGGGCCAGCCTGGCCCTGGGCACTGGAGGAGACTCGAGGGCCACGCCTGTGAGTCACCACGGCCAATGAGTCATCTCATTAACCCTGCACCGGGGCGAGGCTTGGGCTGTTTGTGTTTCCTTCTCCTCACCTCAGTCATGTGCGGCTGCTTCTCACGGCTTTGCGCATACGTTTCCAGTGAGTGGGGCGGTCCACCGCCTCAAAGACACCGGGACGAGACACTACAATAAGAGTCTTGCTTCAGTGGGGAGTGTCACTCTTGTCAGCAGGAAAGTGATTTAAGTGAACACCACTCCAGATTCATCACCTTCAATTGAAAAATAAAATTATATTTAGTAAACGAATGAATTTTTGGAAGGGTCTGAGTCTACCACCTTGAACCCATCTCTGCCCTAACCTTTAACCTTGCAGTGAAGGCCTGTGGGCCACTTTCCAGGCCATGTGATGAGTCGCTTAGTGCTTAACAAGTCATTTCTATTCCCTCCCAGAACACAGATAACTGCAGTGTGCCATGAGCCCCTCCAGGTGCTTTGATGCTTATAACAAGAACCAGCTCTTTCCCAGGGCACCAGAGGTCAGTGCCAAGGTGGCTACACTGCCAGGTGCCTTCCCCGGCAGAGATGAGGGGGCCCTGCCCAAACCTGCCCACCACCCCCCATCCTCCTCTGCCCAATACTGTGGGACCGTCCTCAACACTGGACAGGGGCCACTAACCGCCATCTCCCCATGGGGCCCAGGTCAGGGACAGACCCCTCTGGGCACTCACTGAGGACTCAGGGTCAGATGCTGGGTGGCGGTCACTGGCATGACTGGCTCACTGACACGGACACTCTGAGACCCTGACAGAGACAGGGTACCCCATAGTTGCAGCCAAACCTCTAAAGGGGGGAAGAGAAAGTGCCCCTTATCCAGCCTCTGTCAGCCCTCATTTGACTACCGGACCGAGACCAGGACCTTGCCTCCTATGCACAAAACAACACCTGATCGGAACTTAGGGTAAACATCCCGGTTGAGAAAACAGCACACCCAAATCCCTTCCCCCACTCCCTCTCCCTTCACGCTCAGCAAGTTCGGTGCCTGAGATAGGTTTCATCTCTGGCTCCTGAGATAAGTGTCGACTTCCTTAAGATGATGACGGCTCCCTCCCCTCCACCCCATTGGCCTTTGAGACATCAAACCATCAAGACCACCTCCCACCCCCCACCTACCTTCTGTACCGGCCTCATGCTCGTATCTATCTATGATTGTAAGAAGAAGAATAAAGCTCTCCTCAGAGAAAGACGTGTCCGCGTTTTTCCTCGTGCTGTCCCTGGGGCTCTACCCCCTCGCCTTGCTGGTCAAGGCCCCCCGGAATATCTGACATGAATGCCATTTGCTAGCCAAGGACCCTCTTCACTCACACACTGCAGGCAGAACAACCTCAGGATGCAGGGTGAATAAATATAGAGATCGTCTGCCTGGGGGTCAGCAAGGCAGCAGGGGAGTCCCCAAGATGAAACTCTCAGGATGGTCCAGCAGGCTGAATTCAACCTGGTCCAAAGATAATGTCCCAGGAGAGAGATAGGACCTGGAATGTGAACAAGCCTCAGGGGCTGCACTAGGGACCGAGGTTGACAGAGGGGCCTCAACCCTATGACCACACGCCTGGCATGTGGTCTCCCCTGCCTTGTCCTCACTGACAACTGTTTCTGATGCACACAGACACTCCTGGACAAGTCTGAGGTCTTGTGCAGCTGTCCAGGGATAACCAGGCTTCCTGGTTGCCACAGCTGAAAGGACACATCCTCCTTCAGTGCCATTTCAGGGGTCACGACACAATGGGGAGGGCTGGTCTCCTCCTCTCCAAGCAGGCAATGAATTCTGACTCCAGCCCAGGGACATTCAGTGATCACTCACAGGAATCACCTGGAGCTTTGGGACCAGCCCTGGGCCTCCCCTTCATTGCCCCTTAATTGGCTCCTAACGGGCTGTGGATGTGCCAGGTTCTCCCCAGGCCTGTGCTTTGGGGCAGCAGAGGCCACCCTGCCCCCCAGACAGACAGGTGCCCTGGGCCACCGGACAGGGGCAGACACCTTGTTGGGGCAGGAGCCCAGGAGGACAGGGAGAACCCCCGACCCCAGGTCCCTTGGTCGCCAGGGTGGGTCCCCAGGCCTGAGCAGGTGTGGAGGGAAGTGATGAGCTCGGGGTCTGGCTCCCCTCACATCCTGGGCTCAGGCCCTGGTGCCACTGGCGTCTCCCCTGTGTGCAGGACGCGCTCCCAGAACTGTGGACGCTGCAGATACAGCCAGAATATGGGAGCCTGGAGCCTCAGCTGCCCCCACAAAACCTCAAAGGGACTCAGAGACCACGGGTGAGGAGACACAAACCAACCATGAAATCCCTTCAAACTTGAAGACAGAAGTGAGTCTCTGGGGTGACTGGAGGGTGAAGAAAAGAGGGTGAGACCAGGAGACAACGAGAACTAATGCAGGGACCTGGGCTCAGATGGTGGCTTGGAGTGGTAACATTCACCTAAAGGGGGTGACCCTGTAACCCTAAACATCTGCAGTGTATTTAATCACTGTCACCGACACAAATGATAATGCATATAAAAACAAGAAAATAAATACTAAAGGAAGACAAAGACTTCCATTACCATGCATCGAGTTTCTAATTCATACATAAATATCTGAATCCATTTCTGGAATATTCTCCTGTAAAGAAGTATTACAACAGGTCAACGACAGGACCCCCAGACCTCTCCTGAGCAGTCCGCAGAGGAGTCCGGCTTCCCACGGGCCAGAGACCGGGCCCCAGGACCGGGCTGACCGCAGCAGGCCGGGGCCTGAGCCAGCCAGGCGCGGGGGATAGGGGAGACGCATGTCAGGGAGCTCTGCGGATGGGGGGCTCTATGTTGCAAAGAAGGGGCAGGAATGTTTTTATGGCCATTGCAATTATACCGCTGTGATAGCCTCAGTATAAAGCTCAACTAGAGGCACCCCAAGGGGCTCGTCAGTGCACATGAACACGGCTCTCCGGAGGATTCGCATGGGCTGGAGGGAAAGGATTTACGGTAGAAAATTACAAATTGTTCATGCGCTCCATTGACACTTGAGAAAACCCTCTTCACTCTTTATTAGCACATGAAGTCTTTAATCATAAAAATTTCTCATGAAATAATTCGTCATAGTCCACTAAAAAGATCTGAAACAAAAATCTGTATACCTCAATCATGAATGTCCCCTCCACTCAGTTTTTAGGCTTGGAATTCTCTTTCCTAATAAAAATATAAGCGGGCTTTTCAGACAGATCCAGTTAAGGCGTGGGCCTACAGGACTGGTCTGAAGCCACAATGGCCACAACAAACGTTCCAGAGCCAAGAAGGCAGCTCCCGCCAGACAAGGGTGCTAATGTCCACTCCAAAGGGAAATGATGAAATGGATAGACACAGGCTTGCAGAACTCGAGATATAATGGTTTCAAAACAACTGAATCGAGTCTGAATGTGTCCACGTGAACGTTGAAAGAACACATTCAATCACTCAAAAATCAAAAGGAGACTCAGCTCCCCCTGCATGTTCTACACACTAGCCAGCGTCCCTGAGGGACGGTGAACACACA